TACAAATTCAAATTAGACTTAATTTTATCGTATTTCAAAATGAATTGAAAGATGAAAAAAATTTGAACTTACAGTCGAACCCTGAAGAAATATTCATAGAATTAGATGACAAACTTCCCCCTTTATCTCCTGCAGCTCAAAAGGAAGAAGGTCCTCAGGCTTTCAGAGCAGGGGGATAACGGCGTGTGTGTGTAAGGAGTGTTTTAACCTTGAACTAGTATCTGAAAGGCCCGTCCAGGACACAGTGCTAATAAAAGCAGTATGGAAATTCAGAGCTAATCTACTAATCACAGGATAGCTAATTCAGTTTGGCTGGAGGTGAATGTAGAGCTGTTATTTAGGTGCTGACAGGGACACAGCAGATACTTGGAGGGGTGCAGCTTCATCATCATAACTAGCAGACCGGGTCACCTTGGGAAGCCTCGGGTGTTTCACTCTACAGATCCCTGTAGGTGGGACAGTTCAGGTTATTCTTTTTTAATCATCTATCGCATCTTTACACATCAATGAACAGATATGTAGCTCAAAACTAAACCAAAAACAGCTGAATGTTTCTGTCAATGCCATCTATGGGCGACGTGTGAGTATTTTATTGTGTTTGTTACCATGTCTAATGCTGTTAAAATGAAGGTATTATCCTGTCTTTATTTCACCCTTACATACTTTTGATGTTTTGATCTTTTTTCAGTATTTTTCGTAGTAAATTGAGTTTATCTGCTACAGGAACTTTTGCATCAGCTGGGAATGTTTCAAGCACACTTTAATACCCAATAATTGAAAGTGATTTTCTATAAAATACCCCAAAAATATGCACATTTTTTTGGCCATACCATAATCATATTTAGTTACTTTTACACAGTTTTACAGTGGTGTGAAAAAGTGTTTGCCCCCTTGCTCATTTCCTGTTTTTCTTGCATGTTTGTCACACTTAAGTGTTTCGGAACATCAAACCAATTTAAACAATAGTCAAGGACAGCACAAGTAAACACAAAATGCAATTTGTAAATAAGGGTGTTTATTGATAAAGGATAAAAAAATCCAAACCATCATGGCCCTGTGTGAAAAAGTGATTGCCCCCCTCGTTAAAATATACTATAACTGTAGTTTTTAACACCCGAGTTCAATTTCTCTTGCCACACCCAGGCCTGATTATTGCCACACCTGTTTTCAATCAAGACATTACTTTAATAGGAGCAGCCTGACACAGTAAAGTCCACCAAAAGATCCTTAAAAGCTACCCATCATGCCAAGATCCAAAGAAATTCAGGAACAATTGAGAAAGAAAGTAATTAAGATCTATCAGTCTGGAAAGGGTTATAAAGCCATTTCCAAAGCTTTGGGAATCCAGCGAACCACAGTGAGAGCCATTATCCACAAATGGCGAAGACATGGAACAGTGGTGCACCTTCCCAGGAGTGGCCAGCCACCCAAAATTACCCCAAGTGCGCAGCGACGACTCATCCAAGAGGTCACAAAAGACCCCACAACAACGTTCAAGAACTGCAGGCCTCACTTGCCTCAGTTAAGGTCAGTGTTCATGACTCAACCATCAGAAAAAGACTGGGCAAAAATGGCCTGAATGGCAGAGTTCCAAGAAGAAAGCCACTGCTGAGCAAAAAGAACATTAAAGGTCGTCTCAATTTTTCCAAAACACATCTTGATGATCCCCAAGACTTTTGGGAAAACATTCTGTGGACCGATGAGACAAAAGTGGAACTCTTTGGAAGGTGTGTGTCCCATTACATTTGGCGTAAAAGGAACACAGGATATCAGAAAAAGAACATTATACCAACAGTAAAATATGATGGTGGTAGTGTGATGGTCTGGGGCTGTTTTGATGCGTCAGGACCTGGAAGACCTGCTGTGATAAATGGAACTATGAATTCTGCTGTCAACCAAAAGATTCTGAAGGAGAATGTCTGACCATCTGTTTGTGAACTCAAGCTGAAACAAACTTGGGTTCTGCAGCAGGACAATAATCCTCAACACACCAGCAAGTCCACCACTGAATGGCTGAAAAACAAAATGAAGACTTTGGAGTGGCCTAGCCAAAGTCCTGACCTGAATCCTATTGAGATGTTGTGGTATGACCTTAAAAAGGCTGTTCATGCTCGAAAACCCTCTAATGTAACTGAATTAGAACAATTCTGCAAAGATGAGTGGGCCAAAATCCCTCCAGAGCGCTGTAAAAGACTCATTGCAAGTTATCGCAAATGCTTGGTTGCAGTTGTTGCTGCTAAGGGTGGCCCAACCAGTTATTAGGTTTAGGGGGCAATCACTTTTTCACACAGGGCTATGATGGTTTGGATTTTTTTCTCCTTTAATAATAAACACATTCATTTACAAATTGCATTTTGTGTTTACTTGTGTTGTCCTTGAGTATTGTTTAAATTGGTTTGATGTTCCGAAACACTTAAGTGTGACAAACATGCAAAAAAACAGGAAATGAGGAAGGGGGCAAACACTTTTTCACACCACTGTACATGTTAGCAGAGTAGGATGTAAAACAATTGTGTTAAAGTGACCAAATATGATTAAGTAGATTCCAAAAACGGTTGCATTATTTTTTTCAGTGCAGTCTACAATAAGGAAATGTTATGTGGCTCTAGTAGATGGGGGGTATTGATGAAGTGTATGGCTGCAACTAACGATTATTTTGCAAATCGATTAATCTGTTGATTTTTAAAGATTCTTTAAAGAAGAAATTAAAACAGGTGAAACTCAAACTTTTCCACCTAAGTAGTTCTGATTAGAGCATTTTTTTTTCATTAAATGCAAAATATTTATACGTTTTTTACAGTTTTGAAATAATTACTGTGCTAAATAGGTCGCTCTGTCATGCTCTGGAGTCTCTATACTCCAGGTAATGTTTAAATGATTACTAAATTAGTTGATGATTATTTCAATAATCAATTATTTGTTTCAGCCCTAGAAAGAAGTACAGTATAAATTAACCACTGTAACTGTGGTCACACCATGTTTCATTATACATGTCAGACTAGCTGTATCTATAAATGAATATGATTATATGAATGTAAGTCTTGCTTACAGTAGCTGGTTGTCAGTGTGTACTGCTGTATGCATGTCTGATTTAATGTGCATATATGTATAAATATATGTTTATGTACATCATCAGTATTAATGCATATTATTTTTTATTTTATTTTTTAAGGGTTTTATGAAGTGCTTGAAACCAGATGTTTACATCCATCCATACTTTTTATAATAAATACACATCGAAATGGGCAAAAAGGAGGGGTACATCCTGTGGTTAATTGGCATCTCTAAACTGTTCATAGCAATTAACATGGACTGTATAAAAAGTTACTTCATGATAAGGGCTAAAACAATTAATTGATTAATTTAATTAAAATAAAGATAAGTGTCAACTAATTTTTTAATTGAGTCTAATTGTTAACTGAGCTATGCAATTTCCAAGCAACATAGAGCAGAAATTAAGCCATAAACTGTCTAAACATGTTTAATTTAAGGAGTGTAAGTGGAGGTAGAGTTTCAGACAAGTGAGACTGACTGTATGTAGGTCTGGCAAAGGAAAAAAATAAAAAAATATCTGTAAATTGAATATCCAAAACTCAAATATTGAGCACATTTAATTAAATATATTCACAGAAAGTGCTCATTCAAGAGGTAACACTAAAACTGCTACTACATAATGATCAAAATGAGCCTTTTAGTTTTAAATATTCACTCAAAATTTGCTGATGTTTTTAGGGATGTGTGTAAGAATCAGGACCTCTTTATAGAAATCCTGGGCTGACAGATGCTTTACCCAAGCCCTTCCAGAGTCCAGACCTTATCTGTTAGTCCATGCAGCCCTCCTGCCGAAGCTCACACAAACATTCACTGTAAGAATAAACCACCTCTTCTTTGCCAGGTCTTCATGTGCTCTAACGGCACACAGTCCAGCTTTCAAAAGTCATGGTCATGTTGGCTCATAGTAACCTAAAGCAGTGTCCCCAGTCAGGGGAAAGCTGAAGCTGAGCTGAGGCCTCCTGGTGTTTCACTGGATGACAACCAGCGGCACAGCTCTGTTGGCTCCCACTACACAGATGCAGCATATGTTTACATTTGCTCCCATTAAAGACGGTTATAAATTCATAAAATATTAATAATATTAAATTAGAATTTATAATAGAGTATTGATTTTGAATTTTTGTTGAAAAAATTAGTCTAAAAACAAACTCTCCCAGACAAATTTATGTACTTTGCTATTGAGCAACGTACCTGTCATCAGGTGCAGAAGTCCTAGTGAACATTACAGAAAAGATAGATAGATAGATAGATAGATAGATAGATAGATAGATAGATAGATAGATAGATAGATAGATAGATAGATAGATAGATAGATAGATAGATAGATAGATAGATAGATAGATAGATAGATAGATAGATAGATAGATAGATAGATTTTTTACAGATATTTCTACATCTGTTATTATTTTCTACTACTATTATTATGGTCATTTTCGATTTATTTGACTGGCAATAACCTTCAAGCATAACTTTATATGTGGGCTGAATAATTATACATAATGGCATGGTTTTTGCAAAGCTGCAATATGTCCACTTAAAATGATTTAGAAATATCAGCTGTGCTGCTGCCATCAACACCTTCATAGATGTTGGAGATCGTCCTGTTTTTCAGTGTAGTCCTGTTTCTCCGACTGTGACAGACTCACTGAGCCTGGTTCTGCTGGAGGTTTCTTCCTGTTAAAAGGGAGTTTTTCCTCTCCACTGTCGCTACAAGCATGCTTAGTGTGAGGGATTGCCTTTGAGTCAATGAGTCGATGCAAACAACTGGTTTTCCTTAGATAGAAATCTTTTAATCAATTTGACTGTATGATCTGGTGAACTGTAAAGTGCCTTAAGATGACATTTGTTGTGAATTGGCGCTATATGAATAAACTGAATTGTATATATACAAAGCAAGTGATAAGACTAAAAAATATCTGTGTTTTTCCCCCCTCTGTGTGCTGTAGGTCTTAAATGAGGCAGTGGGGGCCATGATGTACCACACCATCACCTTAACCAGAGAGGACCTGGAGAAGTTCAAAGCCCTGCGCATCATCATCCGCATTGGCAGCGGATATGACAACATTGACATAAAAGCGGCGGGAGAACTAGGTACTAAATGGTTACATTTGGGGTTTAAAGATCCATGTGTTCATACTGAACCAGGATGGTAAGGAGAATATGGCCATCACAGCTTACCGTAACTGTTAGAATAAGCAAATATGTTTTTATTCCTTTTTACATAGCTATGTACTCTACAACAATCCAATGCTGCAGTGATTGGTTATACCCTACTGCTTAGTGTTTAGTAAGGGAATACAACAGAATAAATAAAGGCACCTTCAATTTTAAATCATTATTACTATTATTATTATCAGAATATGTGGTTTCTCAAGTTACCTTAAAGGTATTTTAAAAGCAAGCTTCAGGGAATCTTTTTTAACCTATATATATTTGTATATGATCGGGCATGTTTTTTGCCAGCTAGTTTACAAAGTTCAATAGAGATTTATGCAGTCAAATGTTCTACCTGGCCATTAGTTTAACACTGCTTTTATGTGTATCGAAATATTAATAAATAAAACCTTTTTTATTAGACTTTTGTTTAAGTAGGAGAGATTTAATGCATCTTTGGGGTTTAACTAGGCAGGTTTTTTAAGTTTCTGTGATTTTTTTTTTTAATACCAGATGGGAAAAGAAAGCTAACAATTAATATCTTTATTACTTTTCTGTTAAAATGTTTTTCTTAGCTAGATTTAAACTAGAAATACTGAATAATATAGATTAGATTAAGCAATACTGATATGAGGATACTTTAACAAACAGCTAAAATCTACAGAGAATTTTAAATATGTTAGTCTTTTGAAGCCATATCTTAACAGTTGTAGATTTATTAATTATGTTGACAAGTAGCTGTAATTTATTTAGATATGCAAGAAGTTCAGAAACACCCAAGTTATTACTAAGGTTAAAAAAATAAAATGTATTGGGGGGGGGAAAATGTCATTACGTCTCCGATGAGGTTAGAATTTGCAATAAAAAGTATGGACTTGGTGTTGATTATCAATTAGACCTCTGCTCCAGAATCAAAACACCCTCATGTTTGATGTAAATGTGCAGAAATCCAAAATCAGATGTCAAATGATGCCCTGGAAAGAAAGTCTTACTACCATATGAAACTATTTTTACTTTATATAGACACAGTGATACCTAGACACACTCTGTACCTGTGAACTGGGATGGTGGCTCCATCATGCTGTGGGTTTGTTTTACCACCAGAGATACTAGTTGATTACACAAAGAATATTAGGAAATAAGTATCTGGTTGTTCTCTTAATCTTCCTAAGATTGTTGAAACTGCATGTAGTTTACACTCTGATAGACTTAGCTGGGTCGGTTCTAGGGCTGGGTGATATACAGCTGAAATCTTATCACAATATTTTGTGGTACTATCGTGAAAACACTGTAAAAATGTTCATTACTTTTGGTATGGTTCAGCTAACAGTGTAGCTGTGACTGCATACCAAAGTGATCATAGTTCAACAAATACTGCTGCTAAAAGCTATACCGATTAAAAGAATGGTGATTTATATCACTAAACATCCCACAGGAACCACATTTAATGTTATTCTTAGAATTTTGGAATCCCCCAATAGTAAAATAAAAAAGTAAAAGTAAATTTTGACATCTCTTTTTGACATCTTTTACATTTTTAAAGATCATTAACTCTCTTTCATCATTTAGATGACAAATCGAAATTCTTATGTTGGAATGTTTACCAGAACTAACGATAAACGTACCGGTATGTATGTATGTATATATATATTTATATACATATATATGTATGTGCATATGTATATATGTATACATATATGTATATACATGTATATATGGTTTAAGTTGATTTTATCAGAAAGAGTTGTTGTTTGGATTTATCTGGATAATTCAGGGGTGATTCATTAAAATCATTTGCATTAAGTGAAAATGTTCAAAGAGGGGGCGAAGATGGCGACAGAAATAAAATCTATCCCTGGTGGTGATTTTCTTCCAGTGAAAAACTTGTTTACAGTTTCCTGGTATAGATTTTTAGAATACTTTTTCTTATGTTAAAGTTTAATGTAAGATGTACCATGAAGATGGAACTGAGCGGCAGAAGGTTCAAAAAGCCCGAAAGTAAAAGAGAAAAAAAAGAGTTTGATTTATTCTCTGAACCAACCAGGCTTCTATCAGCAGGCTCGGCGGCTCAAACGGCTCTTACAGCTGACAAAGCTGCCATTTCCCTGCCAATACAAGATACTGTGTCTAACTGCCACCCACTCTCCGACAGCGCGCTGCCTTTTGCAACGCAGGAGTCAAAAAGCTATCATGCCTCGAGAAGGCGTGCAGATACGATGGCTGTTCTCTGAGAGGAGAAAAAAGAGGCCGTTGATTGAACATTGAACAGATTCTGGGTATTTTCTTTTTGCTGTTAGCAGACCACCGTGCTGTTACTTAGAGATACAGAGTGGGATGAGGGCATTAGTGGAGAGCGAGGGCAGGCAGAAGTGCTTTGAAAGGAATATAAGAAAAAAAGAGGCTGTTATGCTGGAGGAAAGGCAAAGTAATACCATGAGGTCAGAGGTTTAAATCGCCTGAAGGCAGCTAAATTGAGAACACTCTGCTGGAATATAACTCAAAAGGAAGCGTCTAAAACTTCAATGTCTTCAGATTGTCCTGATATTTACTGTAGTATGTCAGTATTTTACTGTAATAGTTCACTTTTCTTTCTATTAATTAATAGAATATATAATTAATGTGGCATTTCTAGTTGATCATTTTAGATGTAACAATTTTAGATTGTACGTTAGGCATTTTTTGAGTAATAAAATGTGACAAGAATTAATTTGCTAAATGAATCTAAAACCTTTTGCTGTCTGTTTCCTCATTTTTCTTCCTTCAGGTATTGCTGTGTGCAACATTCCCTCTGCAGCGGTGGAGGAGACGGCCGACTCCACCATTTGCCACATCCTGAACCTGTACAGGCGAAACACATGGCTCTACCAGGCTCTCCGGGAGGGCACGAGGGTCCAGAGCGTGGAGCAGATCCGAGAGGTGGCCTCTGGTGCAGCCCGCATCCGTGGCGAAACCCTCGGCCTCATCGGATTTGGTGAATATCTGGTTTATTATTTCTTGTAACAGGAAAAATACCCTACCTTTTTTTATTTATCTCTTTTTCACCTTTTTTGCCCTCCTTGTAGATCTACCAAAATGAGAATTTTGTGCCTAATTTCAACTTTACTAACACAGATTTTGACTTTTCCTGCTTTGATTATGGATTGCTGATGTATATTAGGATCAGAGAGAACACTAAACATGAGTTAGAAAGAAAAGTAAATCTTTGATCTTTTAAGGACAAGGCTAAAGTTTCAATTTTCAAAAGCTTCTGCAGTCTTGTTGCATCTTGCATTTTATCTCTCCTTTTAGCCTCATTTGTTTGTGATTAACACTGCTAGCGTCACTCTTTCATAGCTTGAATAAAATGCATGCATATTTAAAAGCCTCCAATAAAATATACTTGTTTTAAGTAGCATCTTAATTCTGTTCCTGGATCTTATAGTACAACATCCTAGAATAGTAGAATAGTCTACTTTTCTATCCATCCATCCATTTTCTGTCATGCTTATCCCAAGCGGGGTCACAAGGGGTGCTGTTGCCTATCTCCTGTCTGCAGGGCGAGAGGCGGGGTACGCCCTGGACAGGTCGCCAGTCCAAGTCTACTTTTATTTCTAAGTATTTACAGAAGTAATTCTTGAGTTCTTGCATTTTTGTGTTGACAGGGCTGATTAAGATAGTGCCGAGTTGACCGACAACACTACTCTTTGTTTGAATACTATCTTCCTGTATTTGGAGTACTTGGTAGAAAAGAGAAATATTTCAGAAAATATTTGAATACTGTGTAGAGAACTACAAGAGTACAGCAACAGGCATTAGTCTCAAAATTTGTCCAGAACTTTCAACTGATGCTAAACTCCCTCCGTTTTAAGGAGTCTGGATAGTAATGAATCATTTCGGCTTTATCTAAAACTGATTGATAAAAGTTTAACAGAGTTATTCTGCACTGAGAATACAAAGCTTCCTTAACAAAGTAAATACATTAACTCATATATTTCTAAAATATGCATTCTGTCTCTGAAAACACAATGGAGTAAGACATAATGCCTTTTTTGGCTAGACCACTTTAATTAGTCATATATGAATGTATCATAGATGAGATATATTGAATAGTTAAAGATGGGCTGAAGGAAAGTTATAAACTAATTTGTGAAACTTTGCTAATTGTTTTTGGTTTCTTAGCTCACAGTGAAATGTATGAATACATAAATGTTAGCCTGTATATAGTAATATAAGGGTATGGCCTCATGGCTTGGATGATATTTAGGTGCTGTCCTATTCATTGTGGATTTCACACCAATACTGTTTGCTCCTCAGGCATCGGTGCACACAAAATATAATTATAATTTAACTTTATTGATCTCACATCGGAGAAATTTACCTCCGCATTTTAACCCATCCCCTTGGGGAGCAGGGGGCTGCCATCGTGGGGCGCCAGGGAGCAGTGTGGGGTTAAGGGTCTTGCTCAGAGACCCAGAGTGGCAGTCTGTGGGAGTGGGGTTTGAACTCAGAATCTCAGGATTCCAAGTAGATGCTCTAACCACTAGGCCGCCACTCCTTGTGGCCGATACGTGCATGTGTTCGCAGATTTATTTATGCATTTATCAGCCATGTATTGAGATCACGCAGCCACATGTGTGCTGCTTGGTCCATTTGTTCTCTATGATTAATATTTTGTTTGATTTCTCAGTAACTGTTTATTTTATGCTTAAATTCAGAATTTTTTTTAAACAATTTTTTATCAGTTTGTAAATTTATCTTGTAACTGGAGAAATATCAGCTTAAAAATCAGGCCTAAGAAATCAGGGCTTTGTTAGAATATGCTATGCTATGTTAAAGTAGAATGCATCTGCATCGGTCGACCTCTACTCCGATCACCAGTCTCTGTATCCCTACGTCCACGTTGTGTTTCTGAATCCTCATTCCAGTCAAAGAGCCTTCTGTTCTCCGGCTCCGATAAGGTTGTTTTTTTCCTCGGCTCTGCTAGTCTCCCTGATTATCTCAAGGTTGTCTGTTTGGCTTCCCTCTGGGCCGCCTCCTTCTAACCGCTCTCACATCCCAGCGCTCTAATGCTCCACCATTATATCATTATTATTTCCTTCTTTCAGTTTTTTGACTCTTCGTTTCCATTATTGCTCTCCTCTGACATCTCGCCTGGCCATAATCAGCCCTCATGGCGCACTCCATTCTGCTTGGTGTGTGTGAATGCGTGCGTTCCACTCTCCCAAACTGTTTCCCTGCTGATGGTGTGTGTTTTTTTCTGATCTATTGTCTCCTGCCTCGACATCACTGGGCACTCAAATGCTTGGTGTTGTCACAAGCATTTCCAGAGTGCTACCTTATCTCTGTGTCCACACATAAACACACACCACCCGCAGGTCCCAGACAGCTGCACAGACTAACTGTTCCCGAGCACCAGGCCCTGGCAGAGAACACTGTCTCCCTTATTTTCTTGTTTTTATCTAATCCCCTCGCTTCCATCCACATCCCTGACTCCTTCTGGCACAGGCAGTTTTTTTCAAACTGTGTCCAGCATTAGTTGAAAAGTGACTGCCTCCTACACTGCAAAGAATTCAAATCTCAGTAAGTGATTTTTTCTTAAAATAAGTGCATTTTTTTCTTTAATTAAGGAGGTAAGTGAGACACTTTGCCAATGTAACAAAACAATTTACATTTAAAATAAGAAAAAACAATTATATTGCCTTATTACAAGTGTATATTATTTATTATCTTATTTTAAGAGTAAAAATACTCATTCCATTGGCAAATCGTCTTATTTACCTGCTCAAATTAAGGGTAAATACACTTAATCTAAGACATTTTTACTCATTTTTAGATCGTTTTTGCAGTGTATAGCCGATTTGCTGGAGCCCAAGTTGCAGAAAAAGCTTCTTCAGCTGTCAGATCTGGTTAAAATCAGCTATTTTGTATCTTTTATTTAATAAAATAGTACAGCTAACTGTTTTAACCCTTTAACTGCCTTGTCCAACCTGCATTTCACTGTGCAAATGGTCAGTCATTAGGTTATATGACCAACTGAATGAATGAGAGCCAACTACACTACAATCTAATTTTCTGCATCAACAAGTAATAAAATGCATCTTTGAATGTTTTTTTATATTAAATAAATCTCTGCAAACCTCAGCTATTTCTGTAAAGCTTTATCAAATTCTCTTCAATAATACTGGACTTTAACACACAGTCAATAGGCATTAACTGCATCCTGCCCCCCTGCGTTTTCCCTCATACAGTATTTAGCCCTTCATCAGTTTCAGTGTTGACAGTTTAAATGAAGTGAAGTTTGGGAATCGCTTTTAGTCTCATTTTTTTTACTTCATCTTCAGCTCTCCTCTGTGAATAGGTTGGTTTCACAAAGCAAAATCAAGTCTGAGGTGCCAGATATTGAAAAGCTGCTGTGGGCGGCAGATCTTCTGCTTCTGTTACAGTTATTGGTATTGATCAGTTAAGTGTGAAGAAGCAGGATGGAAAATAAGCTTTGATGCTGTGGTATTTTATAAAGCTTTCATCACAGGCACCGTGTCAGAAAAGAGTTGTTTAATGCTTTTAAAAAAATTGATTGATCCAGGTTTATAAAGAGCTAGGATGAGAATTGGCTGTTATTTTTTTAAAAGTTTGCAAATTAGTTACCTAATGTGCAGGAAGCCTGATTCCTCAACTGGAGTTCAGATCTGCTCATAAAATACCAGCTTAAACAGAAGCTTAAGCCAAAACATAAGCGACCAGGTTAGAATCTATTTAATATTTAATATATAGCACTTTAACCATTTAAAAGAGAGCATGGTGTTTATCTGCTCCTTCTGATTGTCTGAATCCTCTCCTCTGTGGAGGAGCACAATACTCCATCACAGAGAGAAAAGTCCCAGAGAGCATAGAGGACATTAGCAATCCTTTTCACAGCCAACACCAGACAGCTCTCCTTTACTCTGCAGCCACTGAAAGGAACGCTTCATTCAGCCAACTCCAGTGGAGACCTGCTTCCTACACAACACATGGCTGCGGGAGACTGAGGAGAGGCTTAATATGTGCAGCCCTGAATCACTGTCTGTTACCTCTCCCCCTCAGATGGTTTCTGTGTCACGACTATTCCCCTAATTCCTCAATGGTCTGCATCTTTTCAAGACATGGAAAAAAATTTTTTATAAAATAGCAGATTCAAAGCAGCTAATTCAAAAACACTTAAACAAAAAACTTTTTATTAAAACAGAAAACTAACAATTAATCCGACTGCTGCAAAAATAAAAGGAGTTCTATTATAATCTATTGCATGTATGGTTTTAACATGCAAATTTATGTTATAACCTTAGATTAAGAAATAAATTATTTAATAGTACTATTAATACACATAAAGCAAAAGTTTTATCTTCTTCTGATGTAAAACCTGACCAAACTAACTTTAAATATTTACTGCTTTTAGTTTTGTAACAAAAATCCTAAAGACCTTTCATATTTTACCTTATAAACATTTAGCTCCTTCAATATTAATTCTTAACTTCAACCCTCATAACTGTATAATAATAATGATAGGACCAATAAAATTATAATATTGATGGTTCTCATTAGTGTTTTTTTTACACTAAATGTCTTTTCATCAGTCTCAGAATCAGGTAGCATTCTTGATTCTTATCGGTTTACATTTTTGTGAAAGTTTTATTCCTGTCTTTCTATATAGAAATTGGTGGATGTACAGAGCTCTCTAACTAAAGTTACAATAATTTAGGACATTTCCCAAAGCAAAATAGTATTAATTTATGTCAAACTATCATTCAAAATGACACATTTCTGACTCTTTAAAATATTAATAATAAAGTCTATTAATATAAATATTCATAATTCATGTTAATTTTAAGATTTGCTTATTCCTCTTTGCTCCATGCCTTTTTTACATCATTTATCCATTCAGAACCTCAACATTACAGACATTTTAACATATTGAAAAAGATAGAAAACTAGATCTTAGGAGGCAAATAGTCAAAGGCATCCAGATTTAAAAGAAATGTAAAAAAAAAAAACACACATTTTGTAATTACATCTTTTAGCTGCATCAGTAGCTACTATATGCTAAGACTTTTTAGATATTTTAACATTAAATGTAGTTCTATTTTATTTCTGTGGATAAAGCAGATTATTACAGATTAATTATCTCTAATAGCAGCGATAATGTGGCCTTGTTTTAAACTGCATCTCACTCTGGCCTTCCTGCTGTATTCTTTGGCTGATATTACTGTATATCCAGTAGTATACTCTATAGTAAGTAAAAATTACGCACATACCTGCTTTACTCTGTGTCCTCATGAATCTAACCCCAATCATTTCTATCCCCCAGGTCGTTCAGGTCAGGCGGTGGCGGTGCGAGCCAAGGTTTTCGGCTTCAACGTCATCTTCTACGACCCCTACCTGCAGGATGGACTGGAGCGCTCGTTGGGCGTGCAGCGTGTCTACACCCTGCAGGACCTCCTCTACCAGAGCGACTGCGTCTCCTTGCACTGCAACCTGAATGAGCACAACCACCACCTCATCAACGACTTCACCATCAAACAGGTAAAGTTGATAAAACGCTGACAGGACGTCATGAAAAGTCTCTCCCTGCAGCGTTAAGCGCACTTCTGAAAAGTTGCTTTAGCTGACCGATATTGCATTAGATTGCAAACAGCATGAATAATGAAGCACTTAGATTATTATTTAAATTAAATACTAAATTGGTCACTAACACACTTATTCTATAATAGAGCTACTCCCAACACTAATATAGGTTTATTCAAGCTGAATATAGGGATGCAATGATGGCAACGAGGACTCTACAAACAGCTAATGCTGGTTTACAATCTGCTAATAGAACTATTGAGGTTGTTTTTATGTACAAATAAGCTTGTTTGTCATATTGGTCTGAAACGTCCAAAAAATAAGTTAAAAATTCAAGTTAAAACTTGCCTTTTATTTTAAAATTCTACTTTTATTAGACATGAAAAAACTCAATTCTGCACATTCTATTTTTATTCTGGATTATAGTAACTGCTGCATGATCACATTTAGAGTTAAACATGGTGCTGGGAGCATGATAGTGTGGGGCTGATAATCATGTAGATATATTTATTTTCCTACTAAATGAAATCATTTTGAAAAGTTACTTTTAAACTAAAGTTACTTTGTTTAAAAACATTTAGATTTGACAAGGAGCAAACGCTGGAGAAATACTTTTCCATTCACCTCATGCCGAAAGTAAATCTAACCCCTTTTGTGGAGCAATTTAAGCATATGTAGTTTGGAGATGGTTGGGACTAGATTTAAAAGATCTCACCAGAACATCTTGGATACGGAAGAGGATTAGGGCCCCTGAAAAAAAAAGAAAGTTAACTGATTTTTAAATATTATTTCAGTTTATTATGGGAAAAAGTCAGAATTCTGACTTTAATCTCAGAATACTGACTTTTTTCTCAGAATTCTGACTGAACTCTGACAGCTAACAAGAATGTTAGCATCAAGCCTTAGCTTTGACTAGAGACTGAACTAGCTCTCTTGTTTTAACTTCTGCTGAGAAATTCTGTGAAAAAAGTCAGAATTCTGACTTTTTCCCATATTGAACTAAAATAATATTTAAAAGTCATTAAACTTTTTTTTTTCAAATAGAAAAAAAATTTAGAAACAACCCACTGGACTTGGTTTCCAAGTTTAAAGACGTTTTGCTTCTCATCCAGGAAGTTTTTTTAATTCAAAATGTCAGGAATAGCATTGAGTTTGAGGTTTTATACATATAAAAAAAGTCAAAAATAAAGTTTTTTTATTTTTTCAGTGGCCCTAATCTTCTTCAGTACTTCGAGAAGCAGTGCATTAACCTGATAGGAACGTAACGCAGCCATTTGTGAAGGGAAAACATCCTCTGAGCTGTTGGAAATCACTGTTTGCCTGAACTGAAGGATGTTCTGAAGACCTTTGGAGAAGAGCAACATTTGAGGAGGGGTTAAAATAATAGAGAAAGAAGAAAGTCCTTTCCAGCTCTTTATCTTAAGCTCCAACAAAGCTGGACACAGATTCATTCCTTTGCTCTGTCAAATGCAATTAGCATCAGCCCACAGCTATAGCAAATGTATTGACTGGCTGCACAGCTGGAGGCTGCTCTATGAGGCAGCGACACCAGCATGGAGGCTGTGGAACTGCAGCCTCCTCTAAAGCGTCTCCTGTGAGATGTTCTGAACGTATGAGGAGATAAGTAGGAGTGGGAAGTTGCAGCCGAAACCATTTAACTGCTTCTTTCTACAAGCCACATGAGTCTCAGCTGCTTCTTCAAGTGCTGCAATGAGGCAACACTTTTCTCACTAATGCCTCTAAAAATGTTGGCAGGTCTCCCAAGCTGAAATGGAAATGTGATTTTTCTGTCTTTTTTTTATGTTAAAACAAGCAGAAGCTAATAATAAAAGGAGTGCCTGCCAGGGTAACGGCTTTTCATGCCCCTGGATTCCAGGTTTTGTCAAGATTAAGGGATTACTTTCATCTGAGCATATTGACTTGATTTCTCTCCCCCTCTACAGCTCCTTTCAAGCACATTTACACCAAAAGGTCGGATGGGCTGCCTCATCTCCATCTCTTTTTTTTTTTTCCCAGATGTAGTCTGATTGTCAGCTCCAGATCAAATAGTAAATCAGAATGACAGATTGTGCCCGGCAGAGCCTCAGATTTGTATTTTTATCTTTCGGTGTGACAGATGCGTCAGGGCGCTTTCCTGGTTAACACCGCTCGGGGGGGCCTGGTGGACGAGAAAGCTCTGGCCCAGGCGCTGAAGGAGGGCAGGATACGGGGAGCCGCTCTGGATGTCCATGAAACTGAGCCCTTCACGTAAGTCACAGAAACACGTGAGAGAAAAACACGTTTAACCCGTTAATTAAGAAGCAATGACTTAAAACTGAGCATTAAAGGCTGTAATCTTTGCTGTTTCAACTTTTTTAAACCCTTTTTAAGGCAAGTTACCGTTTTTGATCACCTGCATACCCCTTACATACCTTTCCTGTCCCTGAGTGAGGTCTAGAAGCACAAGATCTATATCCAGCCATTCAGCAAAGATTCTGCTATATGGCTGTACATCTTATTTTGCCATTTGATCAATTAGACGAGGCCTTGAATCATATATTACCTACTGTAAATTAAGTTGAAAAAAAAGATAAGTCAATAAAAAAATGTAAAAATCTAATTGAAAATTTAAAAAGTAAAGTTCAAAGTTTATTAAGCCTAGTTAACAATTATATTTAGGTTTATAAACTAAAAACTGTAAGTGACAGTATCAGCATTAATGCCTCTGAGTGCCAAAAAATATTTCTTTCATTCTTTCATGAATTTCTTATAGAAGCACTTTTTTTTTTTTTTTTTTTATATATTTGGGCAAGTTGGTGTTTCTTGTTATTACATTGACTTTAATTTTTGCAAAATACCCACATTTTTTGAATTTCACAAAGGTAATAAAGTCTTGTAATAACACTATTGGCTTAAATTTTAGATTTTCAAAGTATTTCACTGAATGCCCTATAAAGGGTTAAACCCACTTTTTTCTTCCACTGAATTTTTCAACTACCTGCTCTCATTGAACGTTTAGCTCCTTTTGTAGTTTAGTATCCCTTTGATTTTTTGCTAGAAATCTGCTGATTCATCACATGATTGTCAGATATCTCTATTTTCATTATTCCTATATAATAATTTTATTTTTGAAAAAAAACAACACAAATCTTCAAATATATCACATTTTGTTACGATTATATGCAATTATAAACTTTCAATTTTTGATTTAGAAGACAGAAATATGACAACTATTTTTTTTTTTTTTTTTTTGCTTTTACTGTATTAAAGGGTATATTAGGAATAAATCAGTCCAGATTATTGCAAGAATTCTAGGTTTAAAATTCAAAAAAGTGGTGAGTGAATCGCTCCTTAGCAGACATACTGGAAGCAAAGTCTTAATGCTGATTTTAGGAACACAGTTAAAAAAAAAAGGTGTAGAAATGAACAAAAATGAATCTTTTAAAGTTTAAAACTGTATATGTGTTTTTGTGTTGCAGCTTTGCACAGGGCCCACTGAAAGACGCCCCAAACCTGATCTGCACGCCTCACACAGCCTGGTACAGCGAGCAGTCGTCCCTGGAGATGAGGGAGGCGGCTGCCACCGAGATCCGAAGAGCCATCACAGGTATTCCTCAATCCCTCCTTTTTTTTTTCTTTTTCTTTCTATTGACCATCCCGTAAGAGGTAAAACAAAAACAAATAAGAACAATAAAAAAAGAAATACTGTAAAGCTATACACTAAACAAGACATGGCTCACATGGATTCAATCACAAATACAAATGCAAGATGACTGCTAAAAGATCACTAATTTGGCACAGTTTTAAGTTGATCTACATGCATCAACATCAGATCCCAGACAGATAAGAATTTTTCCCTGCACCCCCTGAGAGTATATTTAATTTTCTCTAATTGTATATATATAATATATAATATCTGTGGTACAAATATGGCCGTAGCAACGTTGGGTTGAAGATTAGTATTTAGTGCTTCTGACAAGGTTTTAAAGACCGGAGACCAATAGGTTGCTACGGCTGGACATGACCAAAACATACGTGTTAAATCCACAGGAGTGTTTTGACACCTGTTACAGCTTGCATCTGTTTTAGGATATATTTTAGCCAGTCTTGCTTTGGAGTAGTGGATGCGATGTAGGATATTGAATTGAATAATGCTTGGCACAGGAAGTGCTGTTGTTTACCTTTAGTAGATCGCTCTCGCAATTGTCCTCTTCCATCACAGGCGTAACTTTCTGAAGGACTAGTGAGGACATGTCCCCACTAACAATTTCAATAGACTTAGGCTATCAGCAATAAGTGAGACAAATTTCTAAATTTGATTTTGCTGCTTTTGAAGAAGGATAATCACTGATGTAGCTGAAAGAGAAAATATCCAATTAATCCATTTTTCTGGATGGATTGATGGATGAATGAAACTGAAATTGTGTACATAGTAGGGAGGCATGATATATTGCTGTTAGCATCGGAATCGGCTGTTATTCATCCTTTTTTTTGTATACACATATACACATACACATATATATTAATGCCTAACTACCCATAAATATAAATATCTGTGTATTTTGATAGCTTTGTGTTCTCAACAATAGGAAAGCATTCAATGAATATATGTTTGAGATCAATTTTGGAAAATACAAATCCTATTGAAAGCGTTTGTGTCGAGTAGCTGTAGGTCCATCAGCCGCCATTCGTCCCCCCCCAACTTTCATCACAAAGTTACACCCTTGTCTTCCATGTCCTCCCCCCAACTCATCCAACCAGTCTGCTTTGATCTTTGCCAGTGCGGTGTTTTTAAAAGAGTTTATACAGTACAATCACTAATTTTGGAGACCAGTCTTTTAGAATTGAACGGAGAACAGATCCTATAGACCAGATGGTGATGTTATGTATGGGAAATCGGGATCTGAATCCCTGCTCTAACTGCCGTTTGTTTCATTGTGTCCTATCTCCTGCTACCAGTTTGTAGTTTCTTTATTTGTGGCGTTTCATTTGGCAGGACGAATTCCTGACAGTCTACGAAACTGTGTCAACAAGGAGTTCTTTGTCACCACGGCCCCCTGGGGAGTTATGGAGCAACCTGGCGTCCACCCTGAGCTCAACGGCGCTGCCTACAGGTAGGAAACAAAAAGGTCTGGAGGGCAACATATGCCTTTCATTTATGAACAGTTGTTCAGTTAATGATAATTGAGTTTTGTATCATTTTCTCCATGGTTAAACAATTTTTTGTTTTTCTTCCAGTCGAGTAGAACAGACGATACAGTGACATTCAAAAGTATTCACACCCCTGGAACATTTATAGTTCACTTTACAGCCACAAATTTCACTGGTTTTATTGTGGTTTAATCTGATAAAGCAACACAAAGTAGCTCAAATGTGAAATAGAAGGTAAAACCTGTTTTTTAAGCCCCTTAATTATGCTAATCCAGAATTTAAAAAAAGCCCAATTGTGTTTCCATATTGTAGTGTGCCACAAGCAATGTAAAGAGACACAATACGCATAAATGAAGATGCTCTGGTCACTCTAAAGTGCCTTGAGATTATATATGCTGTGAATTGGCGCTATATAAATAAACTGAATTGACCAGATAATTAATTGTATAACAGTGTGAGGGTAATTCTTCCTGGATTACCTCTTTTTTAGCTCCCATCTATAATCTGAGCTTCTTCCTGTCCCTGATGAGGAATCACAACCCCACAGGATGACGCTGCCCCTTGCCTGCCTCATTGTGGGGATAGAAAGCTTTGCATTTGTTTGCTGACTCCTCTACAAGATGCAAACCAGGACAATTAGTTTTATTGAGTATTATTAGGTTTCAGAGGAAAAGATCTGAATCCAAATATTTGTCACACATTTTGGATTTTAATTTGTAAGACATCTTGATATACTTAGGGTTCATATATCAGAGAAAATCCAGGCGATCTGAATTATTTAGCGTGCATTACAGACCCCCAGAACACCTCTCTCTACATGTTTGTCTGGTTCTGGGTTCTTTTGATCTCAGCATGTCCACCTCCGTCTTCTTCTTTCATGCAGCCAGGTGAACCAAACTCTCCCGGCCGTAACAACCGGCGTTCCCCAAGACAAAATTAATGCCTAGATCAGGAGCAGGTAAATGAGACACCCTGGATGGAACCCTCTAGTCTTAAACTCACCTGATGTGTTTCCTCCCCTACCTCTAGAGCCCCACTTCCACCATCCTCACCCCCTCAAAAAAAAGAAAAAGAAACTCACCTGTTTGACTGAACTTAGAGTAGAGCTGGATGGCAGTGAATGTGGGTTTGGAGTGTCCTAGTAAGAATGATCTGAAGCAATTCAGATTATTGTTGGTGATTTCCTCTTTCCGGTTTTTGTTTTGTTTTGTTTGGGGAAACTTTTGCTGCTTTGTTCCTTTTCTTTGCAGTTTATGGGTTTTGTGGTGATCTATTTTTCTATTGAAAATGTCTCTTTTTTCCAAATCAGGAACTAGAAACGTTAATGTCCGTATTCCAATGCCTTCCTAGAGAACATTTAAACCACAGGTGTCAAAGTGGTTCCAGAAAGGGCCGTGTGGCTGCAGGTTTTCTTTCCAACCAAGCAATAGCTCACCAGACTCCAGTCATCTCATCAAGTCACCATGTTCAGATTGGACTCACTTGATGAGATGAATGGAGTCTGGTGTGCTATTGCTTGGTTGGAAAGAAAACCTGCAGCCACACGGCCCTTTCTGGAACCACTTTGACACCCCTGATTAAACACATTTTCTGCCATTTGGAAAGTGGAGAGAGAGGATTGTCAATTAAGATTAGTTTTTCATCTAATGTGATCAAGAATCCAAGAAAAACTGGTTTAAAAAATGGTCAGTCATCCAAACAGTAGCTAAGTTTTTGGCGTTTCAGTATTACTTCAACAAAAATATTTATAATATGGAATACTTACCAAACAGGTATGAGGAAGCGCTAATATTCACAGTAAAAGTTACAAGTTTTACGCTTGTGCAAACAAAATGACAAATAAAATCTGTCTAAGTCTAAAAAGTAAGCAAACTAGCTATTTGGTCAAATGGGCTTCAATTTAGCCAATCCTGATAAAATAGCCCACAGAGAGTTTAATAAAAGATGCAGAAACATCACAAGGCACATAGCACCACCTAGTGGTTGTATTTCCAGTGAGTACAAATTCTAATATTTAGCTAGGTGTAAATGTTTCTATTTTACATTATACAGGTGCTGGTCATAAAATTAGAATATCATGAAAAAGTAGATTGATTTCAGTAATTCCATTTAAAAAGTGAAACTTGTATATTATATTCATACATTACATACAAACTCATATATTTCAGATGTTTATTTTGTTTAATTTTGATGATTACAAATGACAACAAATGAAAATCTCAAATTCATCATATCAGAAAATTAGAATATTGGTGCCACACTCTAATCAGCTAATTAACTCAAACCACCTGCAAAAGCCTTTAAATGGTCTTTCAGTCTAGTTCTATAGGCTACACAATCATGGGGAAGACTGCTGACTTGACAGTTGTCCAAAAGACGACCATCGACACCTTGCACAAGGAGGGCAAGACACAAAAGGTCATCGCTAAAGAGGCTGGCTGTTCACAGAGCTCAGTGTCCAAGCACATTAATAGAGAGGCGAAGGGAAGGAAAAGATGTGGTCGAAAAAAGTGTACAAGCAAGAGAGATAACCACACCCTGGAGAGGATTGTGAAACAAAACCCATTCAAAAATGTGGGGGAGATTCACAAAGAGTGGACTGCAGCTGGAGTGAGTGCTTCAAGAACCACCACACACAGACGTATGAAAGACATGGGTTTCTGCTGTCGCATTCCTTGTGTCAAGCCACTCTTGAACCACAGACAGCGTCAGAAGCGTCTTGCCTGGGCTAAAGAGAAACAGGACTGGACTGCTGGTGAGTGGTCCAAAGTCATGTTCTCTGATGAAAGTAAATTTTGCATTTCCTTTGGAAATCAAGGTCCCAGAGTCTGGAGGAAAAGAAGAGAGGCACTTCATCCACGTTGCTTGAAGTCCAGTGTAAAGTTTCCACAGTCAGTGATGGTTTGGGGTGCCATGTCATCTGCTGGTGTTGGTCCATTGTGTTTTCTGAGGTCCAGGGTCAACGCAGCCACATACCAGGAAGTTTTAGAGCACTTCATGCTTCCTGCAGCTGACCAACTTTTTGGAGATGCAGATTTCATTTTCCAACAGGACTTGGCACCTGCACACAGTGCCAAAGCTACCAGTACCTGGTTGAAGGACCATGGTATCCCTGTTCTTAATTGGCCAGCAAACTCTCCTGACCTTAACCCCATAGAAAATCTATGGGGTATTGTGAAGAAGAAGATGCAATACACCAGACCCAACAATTCAGAAGAGCTAAAAGCCACTATTAGAGCAACCTGGGCTATCATAACACCTGAGCAGTGCCACAGACTGATCGACTCCATGCCACGCCGCATTGCTGCAGTAATACAGGCCAAAGGAGGCCCAACTAAATACTGAGTGCTGTACATGCTCATACTTTTCATGTTCATACTTTTCAGTTGGCCAACATTTCTATAAATCCTTTGTTTTTATTGGTCTTCAGTAATATTCTAATTTTCTGATATGATGAATTTGAGATTTTCATTTGTTGTCATTTGTAATCATCAAAATTAAACAAAATAAACATCTGAAATATATGAGTTTGTATGTAATGTATGAATATAATATACAAGTTTCACTTTTTAAATGGAATTACTGAAATCAATCTACTTTTTCATGATATTCTAATTTTATGACCAGCACCTGTATATGGTTTAAATTAATAGATAGAAGCATTCATTGTTGTTTTTTATTGTCAATCTTCATGACACAAACGTAGCTTTATTTTTTATTTTTTTGTTTTGTTTTCTTTTTCTTTGTGATAAAGCTTTTTTATGGCACTTAAGTTTAAACAAAAACTAATCCAACTTTTAAATTTACAAAGTGAAATGGCCAGTTGATACTTTTTACCTTGGTATGTTCCAAATTGGAGGAACATGGATTTTATTCTAGAAATATACTTAGAATTTGACTTTTTTTTTTTTTCCTTTTTGTTGCATAATTTTATAACCCTACTGATAATGAAAGTAATTAGCTCTGAATGTTAGCATTTCCAGTACTTTACATTGAAGAAAACTTGTTTCAGTTCTATTAAATAACTCTAAATAATGATATGAACGCAGCAAAGGTTAATATTTATCACAGGTTTTCCTGCTATCCTTAACATTTTACTTGCAGCTTATCTCATTTAAACTGAGATTAGAAAAGAAATTATCTTAAAAGCCGGGATTACTTTAAGTATTTTACAGTTAATCTACTAAAAATTATTTTAATAGCTTTATTTTACTTCCAAAAGTCTGAATCCTGTCTAAATTGAATTTGTAAGATGTATTATTAAGAATAACTTTAATTCACATTTCTAAAGTTTCGTCCTTTGGTGGAAAAGAGACAGAAGTATCTCCATATATTTGGTGTACAGTGGACTAACCCCTGATCTTCTACCCCCAGATACCCGCCGGGTGTTGTCGGAGTGGCTCCAGGCGGTCTCCCGGGGGCGTTAGAGGGCATGGTGCCCGGTGGGGTCCCCATCGCCCACACTCTGCCCTCTGGTACACACCCTTCCCAGGCCCCGTCACCCAACCAGCCCTCCAAACACGGCGAGACTAGAGAGCACCTCACCGAGCAATAGCAACAGAAGGGATCCAAGCAAACGAACATCTCATCGGACCGGCGCTCAGAAAACCAACCGATCATAAAGCAAAACTGACCAACCTGGGGACCAAGAGACAGTGAAAAACACCACAAAGCGGCTGCCTGTCGAACCAGCCTGGAAACGGGAACTAAGGAAGTGTTACGGAGAATTTGTACTTTTTAAAAGTTTCGGTTTTTAACTCTGTCTCTTTGAGTTCTGTACCGAATTTGCTCTTTGACGATGTTTTTGGGGTTTTGTTTTTCTCCTCCACTATGGGACATGCTTATGATTGTGGACACAGAGTCCAGCTCCAGGATTACCAGATGAGACTCTGTCCAGCCCAACCTAGACACATCAGAGCTCATGGGAAATGTAGGCCCCACTTCTCAGAAACACCAAGGGGAAGAGCAGAAAACATACCATCCTGTGCTACTGGACCTCATTCACCCCCCTCCTGATCTCCCAACACCTTTCCAAGCTCTCCTTCATGTACGACGTGTGTGTCGTTTAGATCCCTCTCATTTAGGCTTCAGAAAATAATTTTGTTTTTCTATTGTTTAGTGTGAATGAATAAGAATTTATTATCAACATATATCTATTTATCATTCTTGGAAAAAAAAAAAAAAACACATGGGATTTCTCATCAGTTCCAATAATCTAGAGTGATTTTAATTCCTTTCCTGGCACCAAATTGCAGCTGAAATACCATCATCACCACTAGAGGTCGCTTTTATACAACAATTTGGCTTTTAAAGAGGGGACCATCAGTGATCCATCAGGTTCCTTTCAGCTCCAAATATACTGTCTGCTGACAGGAAAGGGTTAAAGCACACTTCAGTTCTTAATAACTCAGGAAAAAAAAAACACCTTTTACAGATTTTCTTCCCATGAATTTATCACTTGGGGGGGAGAAGACTAATCAGTTGAGTCTGAATCTGTCCTCTTCTCCATCATGCTCTTCATTGTGGTATTTTTCTATACAAGGTGCATCATATGTTTTTGGTGTTAAAGAGTTTTGAGGAGTCCTGTTAGATTTGTATTGCCTAGTTAAATGTTCCTATAACCATAGTCTGACGTGATCCATCCCCTCTCTTCCTCTCGCTCTCCTCCCTCCTTACGGTTTCTTCGCTTCGTTCTATTCAAGGCCAGGTTCTTTGGGGGAGGGAGGGGTCGTCCTGTACTCTGTATGAGCAATAGCTGAAACTCCTTAGTGTCCCGACAATAGCGGAAGAGGCAGCCAGCAGTATGTTTTCTTTTTGTTTTTAGTGTGAGTATTTGTATTTGTTTCTTGTACAAGGTGAACATTTAGCATTCAGTACAGTTCAAATAAAGAGATGATTCAGAGATCCAGTCTTCTGCTGCTTCATTGTGATCCTTGGCTGCAACATCAAAAGACGTCTAGTTAAAGTAGGGCTGCAACTAACGTTTATTTGGCAAATCGATTAATCTGTTGATTTTTTTGGTTAAACGATTGATTATCTGATTAAAGATTCCTTTAAGAAAAATGTTTACAAAATTAAACCAGGTGAAACTTAAACTTTTCCACTTGAGGAGTTCTGGATAGAGAATATTGACAGACGAAAAAGTTTTTTTTAATCTTCAATGCAAAATATTAACTTTTTTTTTTTTTTACTGTCAACTAAAGACTATCAACTAAAGACACGTTTTAGTCTCTATACTCCAGTTAACAATCCGTTACTAAGTTAGATGACGATTATTTCAATAATCGATTAATCACGATTAATTAAATTGTTTTAGCCCTAAAATTAAGTCTTCATTTTTTTTTTACGACTTACTTGTTTTGTAAAGTTACAATACAGAATGCTGCAAATGTAGATGCAAGATTTCCCTGACATTTTATAATCCAACAACATGAAACCAGCCCAATTCTTATCCTCTCCTAAACTCCTATAAGAAAGGTAAAATTATTAGAATATATATTCATTATATAATAAGAGGCCTCCCATAATGTTTGCAACCAGGAGAGTAAATATCTGATAAATAGCTTGCTAATTATTCCATCAGAGCAACAGTAAAATTAACATGTAGGGGTGGGTATTTATGGTTTATTATCCTGATAAAGTTTAAGTCATAACAGCTTTGATTTATTGTCTGAATAATAAATTAGACTTAGTGATTAAAAAAAAAACCAAAATAAATATTTTCTCTTTCATTTAGTGCTGGTTGTTTAGTGATATAAATCACTTCTTTATGCAACTGGTGTTCAATTTTAAATTTGAATTATATTTTTTAGGAGTTTTGTTTGAGGGGCTATGATTGCCTGCAGTCACAGCTATATTCTTTCCTAAAAACTTCCAAGAATTAATGAAGACATTTAGGACTCATCGCCGAGCCCTACTGAGATTTGATCCTTTAACCTACGTATAGTGTCTAACTAACACTTCCCTTCCTAACAGCCATGTTGCCTTAGGTTCATCTGTATATAGCCCCAAACTGAGGACATTTTAACCTTTTTTGCAGTGGCAGCCTCTTTCTGATCTCAACCATCTGGATCATCCGGGAAGTTTATTTTTTTCTTACTCCCCTCCTCCTTTTGGTTTGATGAAGAAAACTTAAAGGAATAGTACACCCAAAACATGATTAGCCTTCATTTTCTACTCACCCCCATGCTGAACAACACTCTGGAGTACTTTTTTGATATCTCAAATGCATCTGGAGATCTGGGAGGCTTCTTGCTGTCTGCTGACATTCAAATAATGGAGGTCCATGGCGCCCGAGACAGAAAGGTCCATAAAAGTCCACAAAAACGTGTCAATATTCCTCCATACTGCTCGTCCAATGTAATCCAAGTGTCCTGAGTGGGTAGCATCCAGAATTTACTCGAAACGAAGTCATTTAGAATGTTTTTAGAGCATAAACAGTAGTGTATAGGATTTCCTAATAGCGCCCCCATGCGCGCTCACGGCGCTACGGAAGCCGGCAGACCAAACCGGAAGAAAGTGCGCATTCAGCGTCTGGTCTGCCGATAATGCAAGCGTAGAAGAAGAAATGTGCTGTTTACCTGTGCAAAGAAAGAAACAACGAAAGAAAAATGTCTGAGGACTTCAGTGTTGAGGAAGAGCATGAGTTCTTTGCCGAGCTGAATGCGCTGGTTTGGTCTGCCGGCTTCCGTAGAATCGCGAGCGCGCATGGGGGCGCTATTAGGAAATCCTATACACTACTGTTTATGCTCTAAAAACATTCTAAATGACTTCGTTTCGAGTAAATTCTGGATGCTACCCACTCAGGACACTTGGATTACATTGGACGAGCAGTATGGAGGAATATTGACACGTTTTTGTGGACTTTTATGGACCTTTCTGTCTCGGGCGCCATGGACCTCCATTATTTGAATGTCAGCAGACAGCAAGAAGCCTCCCAGATCTCCAGATGCATTTGAGATATCAAAAAAGTACTCCAGAGTGTTGTTCAGCATGGAGGTGAGTAGAAAATGAAGGCTAATCATGTTTTGGGTGTACTATTCCTTTAAATCCTTTATTTGGAGGCATTTATCATCTACCCTAACCAATCTCATTTCATAGTGACAATTAACTGATTTTTCTCTACATTAGAGAGAAACTTAACTATTAAATGTAGCGACATTTTATATGGTTTAGGTTTTTGCTTTGCTGTCACATGAGCAACTGTTGGGTTGCCTATTAATAGTTAAAAGCCAAGCTGATGTGAAAACAAACCAGGCACCTAATCCACTGGATGCTGAAGGGTATTTGTATAAACTTATAAGCCAAAATGTTATTTAAAATGACATGCAACTACTAAATGTCAGTCTGTGCTTTCTACTCTAGAAGCTGGGGGTGTCTCCCAGCTGACAGGTTACCTTCTAAAATATATTGAAAAAGGTTTTGGGTTTTTTTCCACCATTACATCCAGTCAGTAATATTTACACAGCAGTCCATTCTCTCCATACTTGCAGCTTACTTGGAATGTGAGCTTTTAAGTTCTGACTATGTATTTATCTGTATTTTACCTCATTTAAAATGTCCTCAGTAATTATACATAATGGATTCCAGATTTCCCCATAGCTGGTTTCAGTATTGCAGTATTTTGAAAGTAATCTGAAGGTTACCTCCTGACTGCAAGAACCTTTTTTTTTACCCTCCATGTTAGTTTAAAAAAAAGCTTATGTTTACCCACAAATTGAAGAAATATTTAAGTAATGCATTCTAGATGCATCAGCAGAACGTCTCTTGCAAAGAGATAAACGTGAGCACCGAATGTGGTCTAACTGAACCAGAGTTGACGAAAAGTATTTTCGCCCTCATTTCTAAAATATTTAAACCATATAACCATTACTGTTTCAACATTTTTCTGTCTTAAAAGATATATTAGATCAAAGAAGGTAAATGCCAACTAAAAGGTTCTGGAGATGCAGTTCAATATTTTATTGATCCCAAAGGGAAATCAGATGTCATAACTCATAGGTTTTTGGTTTCTTTTTTTCCTCCAATGAGTTGCTGCAGGCAGGAAGGATCTCCTGGCTCTGTCCATCTTGCAGCAGTTCTGACAAGCATCTTTCTTCAACAGTCTTCTGGAGAAGATCCTAAAGTTTGTCCATAATGTTCTTCATTTCATGAACATTTCCTCTTTGTAAAATCATCTCTTCCCAGAACAGAGCTGGTCTTTTTCATTGGCTTATTAAGCTTCTTTAAGTAATTTGCCACAATGGCAGAAGAGAAGAGATAACCAACTCCACAACAGACCAGAGGAAAATCGGTTCTTCTGTGACTTGCAAAATTATTACATACCTTTCTTGGTTTTCAAATAATTTAAATCTTCAAAGACAACATGATATCCAACTTAACATGTATTAAGACTGGCAACCAGTTAAATTCTCAAATCAAACAGGTAGAAATAAAAGAAAATCCAAGAAATTAGATGGATGCAAATGAGTGAAAATTAATACTAATGCTCTCCATAGAAGAGGCAGAGTGTTTGTAATCTCTTTTCCCCGCTGGCGGCACCACTCACTCTTCAAAACACAAACTTGCGCTACGATTCGCACATAAAAATTAAAACAAACGACTGTAACCCCCTCTTCCCTTGACAAAACGTAGGTTTTATATGTGCAAAATAAACTACGTAATGAAACAATGAATCAAACTAAATTAGAAAAAGAAAACGGTTGGGAACAGAGAGAGCAGCACTAGAAGCAGGGTGATTGAAATAAATAAATGTTCATTTCCTACAATGTCCATTTCAAAGAAGCACAACTTCTGGCCGTCTCACTCATCTTCATCGTCCTCCTCCTCGCCGTCAGAAAGAGAGGCGCAGGGGCGGATCTGGCGGTATCTGTCCAGCCATTTCTCCACCATCTGGGTGACCAAGGGGTGGTTACGGCGGCGGGAGCTCTTCTGCATGGCGACCAAGAGGCCTCCGTCTGTCACGCAGCAGTCCAGCCACTCCCTCAGGAGCTTCTCCTGCTGCTCGTCGTTTCCCATCTGGATGTAAGCAAAAAACATAATACTTCAACATACACCAACATCAAAGTCATACTTTCCTAAAAGTCTTGCTAAAGTGAAATTAGACATCACAAGTAAATGCAGCCTTGCTTTTAATAAAAAAAAAAAAAAAAACTTGTTTCAAAACTGGCATGAACATAGAACCCAGCTACATGCTCAATGAGAAGAAGGTTCGGGTCACATTTAACATAAACTGCACTGCAATATAGTTCTGGTCAGAAGTTTTACGATGTTCCACACCAACATGCATGCTTTAGTGGCACCACCAGCACCCCTGGAAGTCATTGGATATCCAGTAATTAAAAACAGAACAAGACCGGATTGTTTTTTGTCATCGCTTTGAAGAAAATCTCATGACATTCTGCTAAAAAACTGAAGAAGAAATAATTGTTGCTTGTCTGAATTTAGACAACTATATTTAAAAAGTAAATGAAGTATAATTAAATTTTCTAAAATTAAATTTCTTGTAAAAAAAAAAAAATGTTTAACCAAATCTTCAGTAGAGATGGACTAGAACCTATTTTGCTTTAAAATAAAAAATAAAGCCATTAATTTTCAATATTTAATAACAAAACTGTTACTTTTTTTGGGTTGAGGTGATTACACAAAGTTTTCATTATTTTTAAAAGCAACGATTTTAGGGTCATATTTTTAAATCAAACTAATGTTGGATAAATCTCCATTAGCATTTTTGTATCAGCATTAATAAGCTTCTAGTAAAGTGTTGGTTCAGTTTGATATAAAGGATGAGATGATTGATTGGAGACATCAAGGTGAAGTTTTCAAACATAGCTCTACAGACTGCCAAGCAAAGTATTAGCACCGTCATGCTGAGGGCCAACTGGTACCAATTCATAAAACAAGGG